TACAACACTAGAACTCGGGATCTCGACTATGATGATGTAGTCGACGCCAGGAAGTGACGATGGCGGAAAGAAGTCCAGTGAAGTGGGCGATGGCGAACGTCGATGAAGGCCGCAGGAGAAGGGGACGCAACGGTATGGAAGTCCGGAGCATGGGGCGTAGTCAACCCATCTCGTGATGGGCAGGCTACAGAAACATAGGTGGCAGTTGGAAACGCCGGAACTTGGGGAACTCTTTTTCCAAGTATCCAGAGGTAAACGTCACCGACGAAACGTGGGGAACTCGTTTTCTAAGTGTTCAAAGGCAAACAGCACCGACGAAACTTGGGGAACTCTTTTTCCAAGTGTTCAGAGGCAAACAACACCACCCATGCTTCGACTACTTCGAATCGTCGACGATGCCGATTGTTGAAAGCAGCGAAGAGAAAACTGACGAACGCACAAAAAAATAAAAAATAAAAAATAACGTATCCAGGTCGCGGCAATCGGTAGACGAAATGCAAGCAACAAGGAAGAAGCACAGAGAAGGACACGTCCAGGTCGCGGCGATCCACGGGCAGACGCAGGCAGACAAAGAATAACGACATCAATCACAATCCAGAACGGGGAACTCAACCAAAACATACTCGAAAGGGAGAACACTCGCCCTATTCCGCCAGCAACGGCGGTGGACTACGAAACGATCAAACAGAACACTGGGAACCGAGGACCGGGTTTGCGCTTTTGGCAGGTCATTTCTTTTCTTTTCTTTTCTTTTCTTTTCTTTTCTTTTCTTTTCGGTCTCAGTTTGTCAAACAGAAGTGAGCAGAACTAGGAAGACAAAACAAACGCAAAAAATAAAAAAACGGAGCAAGAGAAAACAAGACGCAAGATCTGAGAAAATCAAATCGCCAATGAAAAGGAAGGCATAAAACAAAACAAAACACACAAAACATAAAAAAAATGGGAAGTGTCCCCGCAAGGCGCTGAAATGCCAAACACTAAGAAGCGACCGTGGGGACGGCTGACGGTAAGGAGTCAGCGGGAAGACGGATGCGGACGCTGATGTCGCCCAAAGGGCGGGAACGATGTTTCTCCAGACACCAGGATCCACAGACGGCGTTTAAGGCGGTGGAATAGAGATCCTCAGGCAGAGGAAGAACGCTGGGGCCAGTATCATCGAGGAACCGAACAATAGGAGTCGCCCTGATGAGCCCCGATACGTCCCGTCCACCATAATCTGTCTCGAGCCTTGTACCACAGCCTCGCTCCCACGGGTAAGGGCGAAGAACTGAAACGGCGAAGCCAAGTCTCGTGAAGTACAAGATCGGCTCCCGGGGGCAGATAACGTTCTCCACGAGTCCGTGCGAGCTCCCGCTGTGCCGCGCGCGTCCGAGTGTTGCGGTAAGCGCGGTTACCCTGCTTGCTTTGGCTAATTTCCCGAGACCAATACAAAAGGATGTGTCGACGGGATTGCTCGAGGTCGGATTCACGTTCCCAGGATGGAGTAGCAAGCCCAATCCAATGCGTGTGATACAGGACAGCGAGGACGCCACTACGCCCACGCACCAGCTGGTGTCCCGAAATGTAGTCAACCTTCAGACGTCCCACCGGCGCCGACACATCATCTGGGGTGACATGAAACGGCGGACATTTATCTCCGAAAGAATGCAAAACATAGCGAGAGAGTTCTGCAGGCATGGACTGTGGCCGATCGTCCGTCTCATACGGGTTGCGGCAGGGCTTGCAACGAAGAACAGACACCCTCGAACGAGCTGCTGGGCCCGAAAGATCAGAAGGAAGGTCAAGGTAGAGCAGTTTGTGAGCCAATGGGTGTCCGTCCGGGGTGTCTTTCGCAGAGGCTGGCCCCACAGCAAGTACTTTGTAGGGTCCCGTCCAGGAGAGCGCGAACTTGGCCTTGAGCACCTGTTGATCGGTGTCCTTGCGCGCACCTTGGCGAATCGTAGCAGCCGTGTTGTACACCCAAGCCCACGCTCCAACAGTAAACTTCGGAATCTTGTTGATGGCGTCCAGCATGGATGAATTGCGGCGTTCGACTCTCGAAATTTTCAGAGCGTTGTACTCTCGGACCAGGTCGTACGCTCGGCGTTGCCGATCTACTGCCAGGTTGCAATACTCGAGTTGATCACGGTCCAAGCTTTGATGACCACCGACTGAGGGATGATCGAAGACCGAAAGCGGAAGTCGCGGGATACGTCCCATGTGGATCTCGTTGGACGCCAACCCAGTAGACTGGTTCACAGAATTGTTGTAGGCGAACTCAACGTGTGGGAGATGCACATCCCAGTCGTTTTGCTGTTCGTTGACCGCAACGGCAAGCATTTGGGCCATCGTGTGGTTGACGCGCTCCGTGCCCCCGTTGGTCTGCGGGTGGTAGGAGCTGGTGGTGACCTTCTTGATTTTCATCACCTCGTAGATAGCCATGGAGAGCTTCGAACAAAAATGAAGTCCGTTGTCCGACAACAGCGTAGTCGGGCATCCCCACTTGGTCATGTACTGGTTGACGAAGATGTTGGCCGTTCCCTTGGCCGTAAATTCAGCGGCTGTGACAGCGAACATGTCGGCTCTCCGGCTGAAGCGGTCGGTGAACAGCAAGATGTAAGAGTTGCCCTTGGCAGTCAATGGCAGAGGCCCAAAGAAGTCGACGCCGACGACAGTTCCAGGCCCTTGCGGCAGCGGCATAGCGATGATGGGCCACCGAGCAGTTTGGCGTGAAGTCTTGCGGGCTTGACACACCAGACACGATCGGAGCCACCAGCGCACGGAGCGATCCACACCAATCCACCAGTAAAAACGTTCGAGCAGCCGCTGTGTACGGTGAACACCCAAATGGAAGAACGCGTGGGTATGGCAAGCACGCAAAACCCACGGACGCATGAGCATCGGCACGTATACACGAGGGACTCCAGTATTCGGCAAGCGAGTGGTCCTACCCCCAGAGCGTCCAACCGGCGACGGCGCTGATTTGTGCACGAGAAGAGTGACGTTGTCGTCGGTCGTGTGCAACCTGGTCTTCGCCGCCAGCGCCAACACGTCGTCTAATCGGGGAGAACGAAGCGGGGCATCGAGGGTCAGCAAATCAGGGGGAGGTGGGGAGGGAGAGCCACGGGAAAGAAAACGCATGGCCGCCACACATTCGCTTTCTTGTTGCTGTTCCCGAGCCCAATCCACAGCTCTAAAACTCTGGACGCAGTCCCGCAGATGAGCAGTGTCTAAGGCGAGTGATTCCAAAAGAGAATCAGGCGATCCGGCGGAAGGAGCGGCAGAAGATGATGTGCCGGCTGCAGAAGCAGCCGCAACCTCCACGCGCGACGACGGCGCCGCGGGAGACGAAAACGTGGGTGACACCTGTGAAGAAGGCGAAACCGGCGAAACAGAGCACGCTGAAGACGGTGATGATGACGAAGGTGCCGGTGGCGCGGAAACAGTCGACGAAGATGCCGACGCGAGCGTCGCGGATGGACGCGGCGAATGCGCGGTGACCCGGGTGGTCTTGGTTTTTGTACGAAACCTGTTAGAGCGACGGACAGGCGACGGCGTTCGAGGAACGATGGTAGCCCGCGGTTGACGTCCGAAGTAAGCTGGGTCGGTGACGGTACCACCGGAAGCAGTGGTAGTCTTGGCCCGAGTCCGTGAGGAGATGAGTGGTCCACGCTCCGGAAGCGAGGACAAGACGTGCACATATTTGTTCGCTGAGGATGCAACAGAGGGCACCAAACGAGATGCGACAGAGGGCAGCCGCGGGGCAGAGCCGGCAAGTCCGGAAACTGCGAAGACACCCGAAGGTCGCTGATGATCCGTGCAAGTAGACGACGAAGGTGGTGAGACGTCCATCATCCGTGGGGCGTGTCGACGAAAGTCTCCAAAGTCGGAAGGCTGTAGTGGTGGGGGCGAGAAGACTCCGGCAGAGCAAGGAGGGGTGAGCCCACCCAAACCGACGTCCGGCGTGGAGGACGAGTGGTAGTGAAGCCCGCAAGCTCGAATGAGAAACACACCCGCGTGGTCAACACCATCAATGCAATCCTGGCCAGTCTTGTCCGTGTCTTGTGCCGGCAAAGGCATCCGCGAAAGAAAATCGGCGTTACCATTCGCTGAACCTTTCCGATACTTCAGCGTATACGTGAAGTTGGACAGAAACTCGAGCCATCGTTGCACCCGTGCGTTGTGTTCCCCCACCTTGCCGATGCTCTCTAAGGTTTTGTGGTCCGAGTAGATGACGAACTTGGTCGACCACGGATAGCCGCGAAGGCGTTTGATTGCCCAAACAACTCCAACAGCCTCCAGANTTGTGTTCCCCCACCTTGCCGATGCTCTCTAAGGCTTTGTGGTCCGAGTAGATGACGAACTTGGTCGACCACAGATAGCCGCGAAGGCGTTTGATTGCCCAAACAATCCCACCAGCCTCCAGATCCAAAACGGTCCAGTTGCGCTCCGCAGGGAGGGTAGCACGGCTGATGTACACGATGGGGCGCACGGAGCCATCCAGCTGTTCTTGTTCTTCAGAGGCCCCGAAGCCATCGATACACGCGTCAGAGCATAACCGGAGAGGGCGGCTGTTGTCTTCGACCGCCGCCCGATCAGAAAAAACTAGAATCGGAGGGCGCGTGAGTTCGCTCAACAACGTCTTGACAACTTTGATCATGCTCGGGGTGTACTTGAAGAGGACACCTTGTTTGAGAAGGGCGTTGAGGGGCCGTACCTTGGTGGCGAGGTTCTTGAGAAAATTCCTGTAGGNGCCGGGGAGATGGTGTGTCCGAGGAAGTTGGCGTGAGTGGCACCAACACGAGCTTTCCCAGGAGACAGCTTGAGGTTGTACTGGCGCAATCGTTTGAAGAACTCGATCATGTTGAGCACGTGTCCCAGAGGCTCCTCATCGAAACAGATGACATCGTCCAGATACGCCAACACTCGGTCCAAGCCATGTACAACACGGTTGATGACTTTGACAAACCAGGACGGGCTGGCGTTGGCGCCCTGCGGCATACGAAGCCATTCGAACAGCTGTGTGGGAGTACAATAGGCGGTGAGAGGGACGGTTTCGTCATCACAAACGATCTGGTGAAAGGCCGAGTTGAGGTCGAAGATGGAGAACAATTTCCCGGTGTACAGCGAATCCAAGATATCGTCCACACGAGGGAGAGGTTGTCCGTCCAGGTCCA